TGAAAATAAAATTGACAAAGATTATTGTTTAAGGTTGATGGACACGAATGTCTTAATTGTTTTTTTTTTTTTTTTACGAATTTATCAAACCCAAACTCAAATTTTGTTGTTTTCAAAATTGAGTTTTTTGCAAAAAACAATTTTTGTAAATGGAATTGTCAGAACCACCTGCAAGGTAATTTTATGTAGTCCTGTGAAGTTTTGTTGAAAATCGGTTGAAAATGTAGGAAATCCGATCCAATATATAAACGTACAGACACACACACACACAAACAACCTGGGTTTTATAATTCCAAACAATGATAATAAAAGAGGAAATCAAAATTTAGAGGAAAATAGAGGTGCCATAGAGTATCAAACTGATCACCACGAGATTGTGTTTTTAACAACGTTAATCAAACCATTTGAAGGAGAAAATTTCAGATTAACCCCCTCAGTTATGAATTGTTTTAAAATGTATCGAATTAAAACCAATCTTTTTTTGTAGAACTTAAATACATACAATTCACACTGGAATTTTTTAATAAATTACAGAATGCAGAATAATTATATAATGGTTAATCAGGAAAGAGGATAAAATTGCAAAAAACATAATTCACAAAGTTTTTAAAACAAACAACAAATATTAGAACAAAAAAATAATAAAGAAAGAAACTAATAGAGGGGTTGAACTTACGTTTTTTTATTTATACCATTTCAAGTTCATCTTTGGTTTTTATCGTTCATTTTGGGATATGCAAGTTCATAATGAAATAGCCAAGTTCTGAATGGAATATAGTAAACAAAATGAAATAGGATAATTTCAGAATGGGGATGGCAAATTTAAAATGAGTTGCCTGCCAAGTTCAGAAAAGTTTAAAGCAAATTCAAAATGAAATAGCCAAGTTCAGAATGGGACGCAGCAAAGAAAAAATGAAATAGCCAAGTTCAGAATGGGACGAAACAAATTCAAAATGAAATAGCCAAGTTCAGAATTGTGAAACAAATTCAAAATGAAATAGCCAAGATCAGAATCAGATGTAGAAAGTTCAAAAAAATATAAAGTTCAGAATAAAACGCAAAAAGTTCAGAATGAAAAAGTGTTCAGTTTGAATCCAAAAAAAATGAAATAGCCAAGTTCAGAATGGGAAAGAGTTTAAAATTAAAATGAAATAGCCAAGTTCAGAATGGGAAAGCAAATTCAAATGAAATAGCCAAGTTCAGAATGGGAAGTAAGCAAATTCAAAATGAAATAGCCAAGTTCAGAAGGGACGTAGTTAAATTCAAAAATGAATTACTTCCAAGTTCAGAATACGGACGTAGCTTTTTCAAAATGAAATAGCCAAGTTCATTATCTTAGCAAATTAAAATGAAATAGCTAAGTTCAGAATGGGATGTTAAATTTAAAAATGAAATAGCCAAGTTCAGATTGGGACGTTTAGAAATTATCCTATTTGAAATATGATATATTCAAAGAGTTGCTTAATTTTATGAAAAGCGTTCAGAATGGCTTTTGCAAGAAATATTTGAAGAAGAACCCAGAAAGATGTGGTTTTACAGAAGGAAATCATCACACTGAAATTATGAACAACGTGGGGGTATATCCTGAAGGCAAAATTTAGTTGAAGGCTTATATTTAATACCAGGAAGAGAAGCTGAAAGTTAATGGGACACATAATGAGGAAGAAGATGTTTAGAGAATCTGATACTCAAAGGTCGAATAGAGGAAAGAGAGACAAGGAAAGGATTGACAAATCGAATACTTCAACAATTGATAGAACATATCTGGGGAAGATGGCCAAAGGAAAGATCTTTGTTAAGAGCTGCAAAAAGGATAACGAGAGGTGGAGAGCCATGATCACCTAATGTCTTCAAAGGACATGGCACAGAAAAAAGAATGCCAGCAAAATTTTTGAATTCTTTTCTAAGGATTAAATATGGATAAAAAGACAGGGTAGACTATGTTTTCTAGCCTTCAATGGTAACTAATTTAAGAGAAATAAAACTTTGTATTCTAAATCGTAGAGAAGGCAACAGGAACCCTCTCCACAGACTTTCCCAAGAATTCACGGTAGTTCACAGGTAATAACGAAAAGGAAGTGGTGGAGAGTCATGATCGCCTACATCCTGGACAGTTGAGTTACTAAAGGGAAATAACTGATACTGAGATATCCGGAAGAGGCATGGCATGTGGAACGAACCGATAGAGGACAAAAGTGAAAAAATGTTTATGTATTATTCCAGTTGCTACCCGGAAACTTAACATCTTCAAGTCAAAGGTGAATTGTTATCTGTCCGACTTATCATCAAAATATTCCCTTTCTACCGCCCTCACCTTACATTCATATCAGGCAATTTACATTATTTACATTATTTGGACTATTGTCCCCATCTTTGTCGCTATATTTATCACAACGTTTCGGCTGTTGTATGCCAATTTCTTCCGGTGGTTGGAATGTCGAACTGAACCCTTTATTTCGCTCACTGGGGTAGACTGTTCTAGTTCCACGTGCCATGTTTGATGGATGTCAGTTATCAGTTATCTCCTGTTAATTTCCTCTGAAAGTTCTCCACTGCCTTAACGGGGTATTGAACTTTTTTTTTTGGGTCTTGTCACTGGATCTAAATTGTTTTTGGACAATATTTATCCACTGTGCCATGTGTCCTTGAGGACACATTTTACAGTGGATAACTGACATCCATCAAACATGGCACGGAACCAGAACAGTTGCCCCAGTGAGCGAAATAAAGGGTTCAGTCGAAATTCCAACCAACTGAAGAAGGTCGGAGTGTACAACGGCCGAAACGTTGTGATAAATATGGCAACAAAGATGAGGACAATAGTCCGAATAATGTAAATAATGTACATAATACCTTATCTCAGAAATATAGACAGACTCATCAGGCAATTTATTCATCATAACCATTTTAACTCTGTATTGAGTGGCTCTTCAGTCTTCAGTTGAATAAAATTATATAAAAAAAAAACGAACACATTTAAGTATTCTATTTCCGAAATGCCAAACATGTACCAAAGAATCGGGTTTGGCTTGTATTCTTCAAAGTAAGATATTTATGTATAAAAGAAAAAAAACAGATACAATTTTATGAGCCACCACAAAACCATTCCTGCCCGTTTAGTTTATGAAATGGTAAAAATTTGGCAACAAAATATTCCTGGATTTACCTAATTTTATCTTGATTTTATTTTTTGCTTTTATTTAAGGGTTGCACGTGCTCTGTAGGGTGGGCTCTAAGGCATCAGTGTGGAGCAGGATGTAAAATGTGGGTATATATATATATATATATATATATATATATATATATATATATATATATATATGATAAATAAATAGGAAAACACATGAGAATTTGTTTTGTGTAGGGAAAAAGCGTTATTCGTAGGTGCGAAAAGTTATTTAAGATTAAAAAGAAGTAGGGAGATTTTCATATTAAACATCGCGAAAGTTGAAAGGGAAGACGTAAAAAGGTAAAGAGATTGCGTACCTGGCTGTCAGTAAATCCATAAAGGCGGAGATATTGAGATGGATGAAATGGTTATGCTTTGAGAACTTAAATAGAATATTTGCGTATAACTTACATAAACAACAGCGGATAGTGACATGGCTACTAATAATGACGGCTGCTGGGAAACGCGCTCATTGGCATCATCTCGAAGTAGCGGCTGTTGATGCTTAATAAACAGATAAGCATAAAAATCTAAGACTTCATCTTAGGGAAATCTGCGCAGCGTCAAGGAACTGAATGTACTACAAGTTTTTTTTGTCGCTATACTTTTTGATTTGAAAGCACACTGAAACGCAAAATATTGTAAAAATATTAGAGAGAAAGTGAAGATTAAATTAAAATTTTAATTTAAGATTAAATTAAAATTCTAATTTTTTTAGTACATTGGTAGCCATAATCTTAGCAACATAACATACGCAGATGACACAGTGTTGATAGAAGACATAGAAAGAAAAGAATCTATCGACATCGTCTGTTACGTGTGAGGCTTTAGAAATTATTACAAATATAGAAAGGAGTGTAAGGCAATGATGCGTCTCTAACTGGACATTCAGTCTATACAGTGAGACGATTTTAAGAAAATTAGAAGTCCTACCAGGACTCACTAATAGCGGACACACACTTTAAATATAAGATATACAGGTGATAAAGTGTTGATAGGAGACACAGAAAGGAGGATGCAAAAACTGTTACAGAAGGCAGTGAAGGAAAGCGAGAAGAAAGGACAGTTGCAAGAAGGCAGAATAAAGGGTTGTAAGTAAAAGGGATGTCAGTTATCTCCACTGCCTTAACCAAGTACTGAACTCACACTCTGTGGGTCCTGTCACTGGATCTAACCAACGCCTTTATCTCAACATGCAAATTACCACTTGGAGATAATCAAAATTAAACAATTTAAATATCTGGGAAGTGTTTTAACTGGGGACGCAAAGAGGCACACTTAAATCCAAATTGGGATGGCGAAAGACACTTTTCAAACAACCAAGTGTTTACAGTGTAAGCATGACCGCTTCGCTAGCAGTGTGCACCAAAGAGGAACAAAAAGCAGTGTTAAGATTTCTCTTGTCGCATGGTGTGTCAGGGCTTGAAATTAATTGGAGACTATTAACTCCATACGGTGACAGTGCCCTGTCGCATAGAAGTGGGGCATGAGTAGATCGGGAGGTTTGACAATCACCGGACAAGTGTGGCGAATTAGAACGGAGCAGGACGGCCGTCAAATCCCACCAAGGACAGGAAGATTCAGCAAGCTCGAGAAATGGTAACGGCCAAGCGATGAGCTACCATTTACACAGCAGATACGGATCACAGATTTTTTTTTCCTTCCTTGGGGCACAGAGCGAGCGGACCATTCATGTTTACAGGGCAAATATAAAGATACCAACTGGAACTAAAACTCAATTCTCCAAATTTCAATTTTAAGCCATGCTTACAGCAGTTAGTAATCATAATCAGTAACCCATCAAGATACTGGCCAGGTCCTATCTATCTATCTAGGAAACGCGCTTATTGGCATCATCTCGAAGTAGCGGCTGTTGGTGCTTAATAAACAGATAAGCATAAATCTGAGCAGCGTCAAGGAAATAGATAGGAACGTAGAAATAGATAGATAGATAGATAGATAGATAGATAGATAGAGATAGATAGATAGGAAGTGGCCAGTATCGGTGATCGTAGGAGAACCAGGATTTCAACGCGATATGACAGTAAGCACTATCAGAGGAATGATAGTTCACTCTCTCTCTCTCTCTCTCTCTCTCTCTATATATATATATATATATATATATATATATATAACATATGTTATATATATATATTTTATATAAATATATATATAAGTCCGTCGTGTGTGCGTGTGTGTATATATATATATGTCCGTCGTGTGTGTATATATATAGCATCCTCGGCACCTTCGGCAATCCCTTGCATCATGGGCATCCTCAGCATTCTCATAATCTACGACATTCTTGTCATCTTCGGGATCTTCGGCATACTTGTCATCATCGGCATCCTTGGCATCTTTCTCATCCACAGCATCCTCGGCGTCTTCGGTATCCTCAGCATCCACGGCATCCTCGGCATCTTCGGCATCTTCGGTATCTTCGGCATACTCAGCATTCTCATAATCTTCGGCATCCTTGGCATACTCGTCATCATCGGCATCCATGGCATCTTTCTCATCCACAGCATCCTCGGCATCTTCGGTATCCCCAGCATCCACGGCATTCTCGGCATCCTCGGCATCTTCGGCATACTCAGCATTCTCATAATCTTCGGCATCCTTGGCATACTCGTCATCCTTGGGGTCTTTCTCACCCACAGCATCCTCGGCATCTTCGGTATCCTCAGCATCCACGGCATCCTCGGAATCCTCGGCATCTTCGGCATCCTCTGCATCATCGGCATCCTTGGAATCTTAAACATCCTTGGCATCCTCGGCATCTTCAGCATTCTCGGTATCATCGGCATACTCAGCATTCTCATAATCTTCGGCATCCTTGGCATACTCGTCATCATCGTCATCCCTGGCATCTATCTCACCCACAGCATCATCGGCCTCTTCGGTATCCTCAGCATCCACGGCATCCTTGGCATATTCGTCATCATCGGCATCCTTAGCATCTTTCTCATCCTCAGCATCCTCGGCTTCTTCGGTATCCTCAGCATCCACGGCATCCTTGACATCCTCGGCATCATCCGCATCCTCGGTATCATCGACATACTCAGCCTTCTCATATTCTTCGGCGTTCTTGGCATCTTTCTCATCCTCAGCATCCTCGGCATCTTCGGTATCCTCAGCATCCACGGCATCCTCGACATCCTCGGCATCATCCGCATCCTCGGTATCATCGGCATACTCAGCCTTCTCATATTCTTCGGCATCCTTGGCATCTTTCTCATCCTCAGCATCCTCGGCATCTTCGGTATCCTCAGCATCCACGGCATCCTCGGAATCCTCGGCATCTTCCGTATCCTCGGCATCCTCAGCATCTTCCTCATCCTCGGCATCCCCGGCATACTCAGCATTCTCATAATCTTCAGCATCCTTGGCATACTCGTCATCATCGGCATCCTTGGCATCTTTCTCACCCACAGCATCCTCGGCCTCATCGGTATCCTCAGCATCTACGGCATTCTCGGCATCTTCGGCATCCTCGGCATCTTCGGCATACTCAGCATTCTCATAATCTTCGGCATCCTTGGCATACTCGTCATCCTTGGGGTCTTTCTCACCCACAGCATCCTCGGCATCTTCGGTATCCTCAGCATCCACGGCATCCTCAGAATCCTCGGCATCTTCGGCATCCTCTGCATCATCGGCATCCTTGGAATCTTAAACATCCTCGGCATCCTCGGCATCTTCGGCATTCTCGGTATCATCGGCATACTCAGCATTCTCATAATCTTCGGCATCCTTGGCATACTCGTCATCATCGTCATCCCTGGCATCTTTCTCACCCACAGCATCATCGGCCTCTTCGGTATCCTCAGCATCCACGGCATCCTCGATATTCTCGGCATCATCCGCATCCTCGGTATCATCGGCATACTCAGCCTTCTCATATTCTTCGGCATCCTTGGCATCTTTCTCATCCTCAGCATCCTCGGCATCTTCGGTATCCTCAGCATCCACGGCATCCTCGGAATCCTCGGCATCTTCCGTATCCTCGGCATCCTCAGCATCTTCCTCATCCTCGGCATCCTCGGCATACTAAGCATTCTCATAATCTTCAGCAACCTTGGCATACTCGTCATCATCGCCATCCTTGGCATCTTTCTCACCCACAGCATCCTCGGCCTCATCGGTATCCTCAGCATCTACGGCATTCTCGGCATCTTCGGCATCCTCGGCATCTTCGGCATACTCAGCATTCTCATAATCTTCGGCATCCTTGGCATACACGTCATCCTACGGGTCTTTCTCACCCACAGCATCCTCGGCATCTTCGGTATCCTCAGCATCCACGGCATCCTCGGAATCCTCGGCATCTTCGGCATCCTCTGCATCATCGGCATCCTTGGAATCTTTCACATCCTCGGCATCCTCGGCATCTTCGGCATTCTCGGTATCATCGGCATACTCAGCATTCTCATAATCTTCGGCATCCTTGGCATACTCGTCATCATCGTCATCCCTGGCATCTTTCTCACCCACAGCATCATCGGCCTCTTCGGTATCCTCAGAATCCACGGCATTCTCGACATCCTCGGCATCATCCGCATCCTCGGTATCATCGGCATACTCAGCCTTCTCATATTCTTCGGCATCCTTGGCATCTTTCTCATCCTCAGCATCCTCGGCATCTTCGGTATCCTCAGCATCCACGGCATCCTCGACATCCTCGGCATCCTCTGCATCTTCCGCATCCTCGGCATCCTCAGCATCTTCCTCATCCTCGGCATCCTCGGCATACTCAGCATTCTCATAATCTTCAGCATCCTTGGCATACTCGTCATCATCGGCATCCTTGGCATCTTTCTCATCCTCAGCATCCTCGGCCTCATCGGTATCCTCAGCATCTACGGCATCTTCAGCATATAGTTGAAATGTCTGGGACAGAGAAGATAGTGGTCGTGGAGTATTTGACACTCACAGTGCATATCAAGGGCGAGAGAGACAGGGGAAGGCACCGGGACACTTACTTGAGAAGAGGGTAATGGCACAAAGAAAATAGTTATTTCAGACTTACAAGGAAATTGGAATTTGTGAAGAGCCATAATCTTCCACGTTTTGAAAGCCCACGGTATATAGAAGAAGAAGATTACGGTGTATCAAAAAGATTTTCTTTTCTTTTAAAGACTTGGGAAGGGCTTTAACAGACGACAGGCAAATTGACACAGAAATCTAAAAGCCCATTTATCTGTTAAAATGAGACGTCAATGTTTTCATTTTTGCGTAATTTAGACGACAATTTGTCCATCGCGACCTGTATGTTGCCTTCAAAAAGAACAAAATCACAGGACTTTGTATTAATATCAGTATTAGACAGCACAAGTTAGTAGCTTAGTAAATAGGCAGTATCTATCTATCTATCTATCTCTATGTTCCTATCTATCTATCTATCTATCTATCTATCTATCTATCTATCTATCTCTATGTTCCTATCTATCTATCTATCTATCTATCTATCTATCTATCTCTATGTTCCTATCTATCTATCTATCTATCTATCTATCTATCTATCTCTACAGGGCGTTCCAAAAGTCACGCAACAATTGGCAGAAAACATACACTTGTAAAATGGCACCCATTGAAAATTTGCATGACATCATCTTCCATAATTCGACTAATAAAAATTCATAATAATTGTCACTTAGAGAAAGATGATTCCATTTGGTAAATAAATATAACATTTATCAATAGTAATGCGGCTTTTGGAACACGACCATTAAACTGCCCAGAATCTTAACTTTTACATCCTCATGGATGGAGGTTCGATAACTTATTGATTTAAATTTTAAACTGTTGCTTTCATTGATGAACATTCTTCTTCGCCTGTAATTCGTCATTGAATATGGAAAATCGAAACGTTAACCTCGTATTTTACGGCCCCTTGTTTACAACCACCAAGCTAGGTTGTTGTTATTTGTCTTCCCAATAGATTTCGCCTAAAGACGAAACCAATTGAAATTCCTTGCCGCTCATATTCCTCTAGTCGTACCTAATCGAATGGAGACGCAGTTATCAAACAATACATATGGAAACTGCGCACTATACTTTTATGGTTTCTGGAGGCGGAGTGATACACATAAAGGATATAATTTCCGAACCCTGTTACTTCCAAGAGGATAAGCAATTGATCTTCCGCCACGTGTCGGCGATTGAAGAAGAAGAAGAAGAAGAAGAAGAAGAAGAAGAAGAAGAAGAAGAAGAAGAAGAAAAGGTTATGAAAAGGGAATTCGAAAATAAAGTGCAGAAAAGAAATTTAGAAAGAATAAAAGAACAGAAAAGGCAAGAAAATAATAACGGAGACTTAATGAAAGCCATGATCAGGTAGGAACTGAACGAAGACATTAACGGAAGAGTGCTGTTAAGGAAATGGAAAAGGAACAAGGACGAGAAGTTGAGAAGAAAGACGCCATCAAAGGCAATTAAGTCGAAGTGCATAGTAGAGTGTAAGAAAAAAGAAGACGAAGCAAAATGGCCGAAGAAGAAGAAGAAGAAGAAGAAGAAGAAGGCGACGACGAAGGAAATGAATATATAAAGGAAAAACAGGAATGTTAAGAAAAATAGACTGCAAATAAAAATTGAAGGAAGAAGAAGAAGAAAGGAAAACGGAAGTGTATGGAGAAGGAAATTGAAGGAAGTAATAGAAGAAGAATAAAAAGAAGAACCATGACTGAAATAAAGAGAAGAAGATGCGTGAAGAAGAAGAAGAAGAAGAAGAAGAAGAAGAAGAAGAAGAAGAAGAAGAAGGACGAGGAAGAGAAAGAAGAGAAAAACATAAGGAAAAGAAAAAAGAGAAGAGATGAGAAGAGGAAGTAAATTGTAGATAAAGAAAGTTGTAAAAAGACAGCGCAGAATATATAAGGGGAAAATGAGAAGTTGAAGAAGAAAACGAATTGAAGGAGGAGGAGGAGGAGGAAGAAGAAGAAGAAGAAGAAGAAGAAAAAGAAGAAGAAGAAAGCAGAAGACAACGAATAATAATAATAATAATAATAATAATAATAATAATAATAATAATAAAAAAAGAAGAAGATAAAGAAGAAAGAGAATGATAGAAAAGCAAGAAGAAGCGTAAATGAAAGAAAGGGAAAGAGGGATAAAGAAGACGAGTTTGAGAAGGAAAACAAGGATAAGGAATAGAAAAACGAAGAAGAAGAATGCTGGGCAGAGTTAGAATACGACAACTACTATTATTAGTATTCACACAACTAATAATAATAATAATAATAATAATAATGGCAGAAGAACACAAACAAGAAGAAAAAGAAAAAAAATGATGAAAGTAAGTTGACGATAAGGAAAGAAGGCAAGAAAAATGAATGACATTCTAGTGTTAATCCTTTGTTACAAAGATATAAGGAGAATTTCACAGGATTCGTCAATTTCGAAATATCCGGAAGGGGGCGCTTCGGTTCTGTTGACGTGTACGCCTGGTTTAGTTAGAGTGAATAACGAAGATGGCGCACAATTTTTTCTTGGATTTTCTATTTCCCATGATGCAAAGGGCGATTGTTTCTTACGTTTGCTAAAAAATTGGAGTGAGTTATTCAAGGTGGATATTGTATGACGAGATAAAGTACTTTTTTCTTTTGGAGAGGTCGGAGAGGCGCGTTGATTGTAAGAAGACTGAAGCTCTACAAGATATATAAGATGCAGACGATGTACGAACATCAAAAAAAAAAAAAAATGCAATGTCTTGTTTTTTAATAAAATAGTCGCTATTCATTGATCGATTTCGTTTTATTACTTTTCTTTTTGCCTCCTTTGAAATATATTATCTTACAATTCGGGTCCGCTACATTTAAATAAAGTGAGAAACTGCATATTTAGGTGAATCAAAATTTGACACAAGGACATTAAAACGGAGTTAACTGTCAGTATTAAACCGAACACTTATTGCAGTTTAATATATTAACATCTTCAGAAAAGAAAAAAAAGACAAAAAAAAATCTCATAGAAAAATAGATATATAGGTATATAATAAGAAAATATATATATATATATATATATATATATATATATATATATATATATATATATGTGTGTGTGTGTGTGTGTGTGTGTGTGTGTGTGTGTATATATATGAAATATGTGGTGCAGTTCAAAATACAAAATTTAGATTAGTAAAGTTAAAGATATAAAAGAGCGAAATCCTTTCGCCAAAAATATTTAAAGGTACATTAACCTACAAATCATTCGATGAATGTTATGAGCCTTGTTTTTAAAAATCATAAACTATGTAAGGTCTTTCACAATTCGGATGCTACCTGAATTTTACCAAAAGCAAAATAATTTCCATGCCTGAGGATGACTAAATGTACAGTTGAAAGTATTTGCGAAAGACCTTACAAAAGTGGCGACGAGTGTTCGTTGGCATCACAAAACACACCAAATATCCCCTAAAATTATTATATGCATACACAGCCAAAGTCCCCATCTGCGAACATAACGCCATCATCTACAGCCAAATTCTATGGTGTAGGTATGGGAAATCCACTCGGCCCGTGCTTCTCCAATTACTACGTCTCACATAGAAAGCGTGATATTTTAACAGGTCACTAAACCCAAAATATCCGCTACGTAGGCGATATTATTATTTTAGCGAAAAACGCACAAGGAATAGATAATCTGAAAACTAAATTTGAATAAAAATCTGTCCTTAAGTTTACCTACGAATTAAGTAAAAAAGAAAAAAAACAAAACGAAAAAAAAAAAAACTCCCACTTATAGACGTTATAGTAGAATACAGTCAGAATATCATAGGGTAATATCATCAACAATAGTTTTTCTCTTAAATTTTCTTTTTCCTTTACCAGTATCACTTCTAGATTACTATGGAGCCATGATTGAGGACTAATGAAGAGAGAAAAAGGCAGAGTACAATAAAATTGGAACAGAAAAGCAGAGCAAAACACACGAATATGGCGGTCGACTGAGAAATGATTCCGTTTGGGTTAATTCGGTTCAGCTCGATTCGGCAATGTTGTTCGAGAATCGAAATTTTGTTTGATAAACGAGGCATTTTCATCTCGAATATTTCTCTTCGAAAACCGAATTGTTCTACATGTAAGACGTTCGAGAACCGAGGTCGCTCCGTATATATATATATATATATATATATATATATATATATATATATATATATATATACATATATGACTACATTGAAAGAAACTTATGCGTTGAAATATATGAATAATTAAGGCATTTCCTGATATATATATATATATATATATATATATAGAGAGAGAGAGAGAGAGAGAGAGAACGACCTATATATTGCATATATATATATATATAAAAAAGTTTTTTCATGATATATATA